TTTTTTTTTTTTTTTTTTTTCCCGTTTAAATCCTGGGTGTTCTTCTATAACTCCCCTTCTTTGTAATTCTGCGGAGAACGCGTCCCCCACGAAACTTTTTCCCCTTGCGATAGGCGGGACCGAAACAATACCGGACGCATTGTTTAAATGTGAAAGCCTTCCGTGCCTTTTTTTTTTTTTTTTTTTTTTTTTTTTTTTTTTTTTAATTTGCGTACGGTTTGATTGCCGCTTGTGCTGCTGTGGTGACACACTCCTCTCCCTCTTGTGTTTACAGCTTCTGCGGGGGAGAAACGCTCGGAGGAAGAGCCCGGATCCCCGGGCGGCGCGAGCGAGGAAGGCGGGAGCCCATCCAAGCCAAGCTGGGAGGATTTCACCTTGTTGCTGGTGGTTTGGGGAGGTTTTTCCCTTCCCCCGCCGCGGACACGCTCCTGCTGAACGTTTGTTTCCTTGTTGCTGCCGTAACCGGCCAGAAGAACGCTTCGCGTGCGGGAGGTGGTTTTTTAAAAATTTTTTGGCTGTTTGTTTCGCCGTGGTCTCCTTGCAAGGCGCAGGTCTGCACCTACCTCCGGGAGGAGGGAAGCTCCGCTGGGGCTTTCGCTCCCTCCGAGGGAAGGGGGCAGTTGGGAGCCCCCCTCCGCCGGCCTGTGTGCGGCTGCACGGAGCTGCAGTCCCTGCCCGAGCTGCTGCTTCACCTGGCCGCGGGCTGCCCAGACCCTCCTGTTGACGGCAGAGATTCGTATCCGGCGGAAAATCGGATTAATACAACTATGCAGAGCTTTGCGGGGATATCTGGAGACTACTCTGTCTGCATGGCTAATTTTGAAATTGTCTGAAAAAAATCCTTCAGCCCAAGGAACAGCAAGATACTTTCTCCTCATTTTAGGTTTTTTTTTTTCTTCATTTTTTTCCTCCTTGTACAATAATTGAACACTTCCATAGCAAGCTTTTTTTTTATTTTTTTTATTTTTTTTATTTTTTTACCAGGCGATGGGATACATGCCAGAAAACTCACCCTGCTCCATAAAAATCACAGAGGTACCAGTTTCCATCATCCTTGTGCTCTGAAAGGTACTCTTTGGCTTGTGTGCTGGTGGATGAGATGGATCAGTCTTCCACCGTGCTGGAAGATGCGGATTTACTAAAATACTGACGCCGAGAAACTTGCTCTCTCTCTGCTGAAGGCATTGGATGTGCTAGTGCAGAGAAACATGTGTTTCCCATTTCTGACTGGTTGTTTTGGTGCAGTCAATACCTCCCCAAAATGCATTGACTTAGGTGGGGATTGCAATAGAGCGGAGCGCTGCTTTCGGCTGGCGGGCAAAGTGAGCACAAATCCAAGGCGTTCCTGCGGCGTGGGGGCCTCTGGGCCCCCCAGGCCCTGGGGTGCTGGACGATGCTCCCCCAAAGGGAGCCCAGGGTGCGGAAGGAGCAGTGAGCGACGCGCTGGCAGCAGCCGTGGGCAGCCGAGCCGGACGGGGCCAGCAATGGTTGGGAGGAAGGAGCATCGTGAAATCGCTGCCCGCAGGAATAGCTGGGCAGACAGCGTGATGATAAAGTTAAACTTCTGCTCCTTCGTCTGTCGGGGATGGTGGGCGTTTCTGTTGCTCCAGCTCCACATGTTGCAAGCACTGGCACAAGGTAGGGCTAGAGACGTTTTTTGTTTATAGAAATGCTGCATCTTCCTCTTAAGGGGAAGGAAATCTTGCTGGTGTAAAGATGTACTGTTTTACTTTAGCTCTGTCTGAAATAACAAATTGCAGAATGTGCACTGAGCTGATTCCGCGTAGCAATGCTTATTTCTTCCACACAATTGTTCCTTTAAGGAATAAGCATTTGCAAACTGCACCTATGTGTTTCTTCCTCTTGTCCTCCTATCCCTCTCCTACCCCTCCATCTTCCACAAAGAGTCAACAAATCAACAGCCTAATTGGGATCAAACCTGCCCTTTTATTTATTTAAACGTGCCTGCATGTGCCTCTCTGTGCAGTTTTCTTCTTTTTCAAAGGCAGCAAAAGAGTTAACTGCGGGTTGTGTGTGTTTAAAAACACTGTGCACTGAGATAAGTTATTAGGAGAAAGCGACATAAATCCACAGGCTAGAGCTAAGCCAGGCATGTAAAAGGAATTCTTTAAACATATGAGGACCATTCTATGTGAACCTCGGTTCGAGCATTGTCCGTTGCTCTTGGATTGCCAAGTAACATTTACGCGAGACAAAAACTGCGATTGATTCGTATCTGGGCATTTCCACATCAGAGATCCTCGCAGTCAAATGAGTCACTTGTAAACGGAGGGTCAGAGTCGTCCAATAGACTTTAAATATCAAGTGTCAGTCAGTTTGCATCTGAATTCCCTGCCCCAAAAAATTGCCAAATGTGGCTTAATTCTTAATAATTCTTTGACAGAATAAACAATAAATGGCAGGCAGAAGCCTTACAGTTGGCTGCACAAAATAACATGCTGAACAAATGCAGCTTTCACTTTCTTCGCTGGGGTGAGTTTTATTGCTGTGTGCATTGTCTGGTGGGAGTGCTCGGTGGCACAATGCTGAGCTGTGTCGTGTGGGCCGGTAAGTTATTAAAAGCGGAAGTTAATACCCTATAAAGGGGGGCTGGGCTTTGTGCTTTACTACTTTGGATGTGAATATTTCATAGGGAACAGCACTGCCTTTGGTTTTAATAACTGTGTGGTTTTGTGTGCTAAGGAGGAGAGGTTACAGGGCCAAAGCCACTGTAGTTTGTCTGCTTGGGGTTATTGTTGCACCCTCTAAAAGTTTTGGACCCCGGGATACAAAAGAGTTTTAATCTAGTATTTAATAATGGACTCCACCTTCCCAAACCTTTCTTAATGCTTTGTTTATGCTGTCATTCCTATGCCCAAACTACTTATGCTGAGGCCTGCGTGCCTTTGCAGGCTATTGTTACTCTGAAACAAAGCATAATTCGCCCTGCAAATTAAAATTAACATTTTCTTTTTCAGTTGTTGATAGACGCCCACACAATACTTTATTTTGAAAGGCAAGTAACTGACAATGCTGTTTACATTAAAAAATGTTAAAGATTTTAATTGAGGCCAGTTTCAGGTGCAAGCGATTCAGAAATCAATTTATATCTTGTAAAACAGTTTCATGGAAATTATGGTAGTAAACTAGCCAATTTACTGGACTAAAAAGTGGACTAAAACTTTTGTTTAGCCCATAGTATGGGAAAACATTTCAACATAACACTTGAGATTACTAAGCATTCTCAGTATTGTTAGTTTTAGATGACAAACTTCTCAGGGAGTTGCACAGTGTTCACATACTATCCGAAACAGAGGTCCTGGGACCAAGTTAGTTTTACCCACCATTGATTAAGGGGGAAGAGGAAGCAAAGAGAAAACGCTATATTCTTTCTAAGAGGAAAAATCACTGCAAATAAAGGTATGGAGCTTAGTAGCCATTGAACAATGAAAGATAAACAATTAAATTATTCAGGAACAAAGTAGGTTTATCTTTTCATGTAGTATATGAAGAGATAAGCGTTTTACAGGTGGCCCTTTAAAGACTGTTTAACAGACAAGTCAATGTGGAGGTCACACAAACCCATCTGCATTGTGATTCTATGAAGTTGTCCCAAAATTTGTATACATTTCTAAGTCAGGGTTCTTTCAGGGTTCTTTCTTTTTTCTTTTTCTTTGATCTATTTAGTGCATTCATCATTTATATCCATACTTTCTTAGTTCACAGAAAACACTGGATAAGGTCATCGAGGTTAAATACCTTGTACCGTAAAGTGAAAGAAAATATTTTCAACAGCAACAGGTTGTTTGAATATTCTCAAGGCTTGAGTATCTTATGCACCTAAGCAGATTTACAGGAGAAATGTAGATAAACCAACTTGTAAATACACTTTGTACCTAGCTCTTCAGCATCTCTGTTTTCTCTGGTAGTTGCATTATATAATTATGTAATGATAATACACTGCTTTATATGATGTTTTCCATTTATAAGTGAATTTCCTTTTTGAAATGTACACTGTTTTGTTATCCCAGATAATGCAACATTCCCTTCAAACTTCAGTAGTCAGTGAAGACCTTCCCATTCTGGAAGAGACTTTCTGAGGATGACAGTGACAGGAAAGGAGGGCTGTGCCTTGTCCCGTGAACGTAGCCTGGGACAGCACCCTCGCTTCCAAGCTGGCCTGAGGTCTGCACGGAGACCCCTTCAGCCTCTGCATGTGTCTCACCCTGCTTCCCACGTTCCCCACATGTGAATGGGAAGCTCATGGGGACAGTTAACCTTTAACAGGCTGGAAAGGGTCATACATTTCTTTGCACATTCAGTTCTTTACGTCTGCTGGCCTCTGCCATGGTGCCACTTGGCATTTTTGTTAAGTTTGAATATTAGGTGCTAGCTAGCCTCAAGTCATTGTGTGTCATCAAACAGTAATGAGATGCTAATTGATAATCACTATAATTACCAATTTAGAATTTGCAAGGTGATGGTAAAAGTGAATCATTTCAACATAGTAACTAGGCTATGGTACTTAGAAGAACATTATCCTGCAGTGACCTCTATCTCAGTGGTCTAGCGTGCCTGTGCACAGTCCCGCTGAATGCTAAACCTTGACTGCAAGAATGGAATTTATTAGTTATTTATCACATTAACAAGCACTGCTGCCTATTAAGCTACAAAATGTTTACTAAAATACTTGAATATTTGTATGGAAACAAAACAGGCTGCGTGTTTAAATAGGTTGAAAGTTGCTAGAGGCTACTCTATGTGCGTCGTAATGGCTTTAAGTACCTTCCCCATCTCTTATTTTTGTTAAAGAATGAAAGACTGCTTAGAAAAAATACTGATTCTTTTGGACTGATGCCTGTAGCTCAGAATGATTTTAAAATAGATAAAACCAGTGCATAGTTTTAAGCTTCTCTTAACAGTAGATGGTATCTTTAAATATTAAGAAAGAGAAGCTTGTCTGATATTTCTTAGTTTAACAGAAATAGAGTGTAATCTTTTCATGCCACTTGATCAAATCTATAATTCAGAGTTGAACAAGGATCTGAATGTGTATTTAAGGTGGCATGGAGATGTATTACGCTTTGGTAGAAACAGTGATGTGGAAGATGGAGGAAAATATTTCTGGACCTCACCCTTTTGATTCAAATATTTAATCTGCTCTAAATTGTACCTATGCTAAGTGTAGGAAGCCTTTACGAGCAAACTTCAAGCTGCGCGTGATGTGTAATAAGATAAACAACTTGCAAAGAGTATTTAATTGTTAGAAGGACAGAGACAGCTCAGTGTGGGGTGACACTTATTTGAGAATCAAAGACATTATGAATTAGACATTGAATGGCACATTTTGATTTCCAAAGGACTCTGATATTATTCACTGGAACCTCATTAATTCATAGTGAATTTATTGCATTCCTTGTGAATTCTTTATGTATACGATTATTAAATATGGTTTTGAAGGAGTAAATACAAGCCCTATCCATATGGAAATGGGATGGAAAGAGTGGGCTCTTTTTGTGTGTCCATATCGTGTGAATTCTAATTGAAATTGTGGTAAAACTTCTTGATTTATACGCTTTGCTGAAAAATGACCCATTTTCAAGACATTTCAAAGCAAGTTAAGAGATATGTATACGTATATAACAACATTTTAAGAACAGTGTTTCAGGCAGTTTCTCGAGAGCACACCCTAACAGTACTTTTAGGGGGTAGGAGGACCATGGCCATTAGATGTTTATCATGTTGTCTTCATACATTAGCAGAAGACACTGGAGACAGAAACCAAGTAGGTAAGTTACCTTTCAACACAAGACAACTTGAGCATGGTCTAAAGAAAGACCTGTTAGCAACTATAGTGTGACACTGGATTGAACTTTTATCATGATTACAGCTGGAAAGCACATCAGTGGTGAGACCTGCTTTCCATTCCTGACTATCAAGTACTTCCTAGTGGGTAAAGACGATTATCTCCCTTTGCATCAAAGATGTCTGTGCTGCCCATTAAGATCACGTAGAATAAATACAAAAGTCTTTGAAAGGTCTATTCCTGAGGAAGTTGTGGTTTCCAGATTTATTTCTGCCCGTGCTGATGTTGATCTTGTTACAGTGCGTACAATTTCATAATTTTCATTTGTAGGAAGTACTTTTTTTTTTCTCCTGATAGTTGGCCCAGATAAATGTGTTAAAAGGGAGGCTTGTAGTGGTTGGCACCCGTTCAGTATATTGTTGGCAATGTTTTGTTTTTCCAGTTTATTGGTTATAAATAAGTGTTGAATAGATACCATAACTATTTTTTTTTTCATACAAGTAAAGTTTATACATTCCGTTAAGGACATGAACTTTGAAATGTCCTCATGTCCTCAGAACTTCAAATAGAGCCCATAGGAATTACTGCGTGTGGCATTTGCAGGTCTGCATTCAAGCTGAGAGAGGAAGAGCCTTTTATTTTAAAATGCACAAACTTCATAATGTTTTTAAACAAACATGCCTGGTTTTATAAGATCAACGTGTTACACAATTTCTGGTCTCTGCACATGTGCATACTGTGTCTTGAGTACTAGCGTTTTTGGTTCAGTAGCAGGCATTTTTTTTTCTTGCCATTGCTATAAAGATTAAAAAATTAGCACTATTCTCCCTAA